GAATTGTTTTCCTCTGTCAGGCCATTTTTCTTTTCAATGCCTATTAACTTTCCGTATGATTGAGTGATTGTCAGCGCCTTGTCGGGTGGTATGCTGTTCGGATAAAGATATAGTGAACGTTTCTAGTGCTAGTAATAAATTAAACTTCATTGGCTAACAGCTGGAAATAAAAAGAAAACGAATGCACAAACCTGCTCAGCGTATACGGAATGAATGGAATGCCCCTGTTGGGGAAAAACAAAGAAAAGATAGGAGAAGCCTTGCTATTCTCATCACACGGTAACGGCATGGTGGCTTCTTCAGCCCAAATGCTGATTGACACATTTGGAGGTTCTTAAAAAAGTGGCAGTGAGACTATTTAATCATTTCTTCGGATTATTGATGACCAAACACATGATTGAACCATTTTTACTTCCCTGCAAGAAGAGCGTCACCTCACGAAGCGTTGGAAACGTCATTTCTAATAGGGAATACATACTTTTTGGAAACGAAACCATAAGTTTCATCTCATATGCTGTCATTGAGCTTGACTGGAGCAACTTATATTGTTACGAAATATATGAACATCTTTGAATCAAAAAGAGAATATCTTTGGAGAATATTTTTTTATATGAGTTTTTTCATTTTTTATTTTACTTTTATTGTAAATAAGTTTAAGTTGGAATAAGTTTTTATTTTACTATTTACTTTACTTATCGATCAAGTAGGTTTATGTCTAATTGGTTATTATAAATAGTCCTTGTAATTTTTTTATTTTCATCAAGCAATCAAATAAAATAGCTATTAAACAATTTAATTTTTAACTTAGATCTTTGATATTTGTACATAGTATCAGAGCTTAGTTGTTATTTCTTGTGAATTTTTTTTATGATATAAAAACCAATAAAAACCTGTATATACTTAATTTTGGTTAATACATATTTTTAAAAAAATTATTTTATAATATAATATTATACATAGAGCAACCAAAACAATTGAAGTGTTGTTTCACATAGAATAACTAGAACAAGTGAAGCACTACTTTACGCAAAAAAAATAGAATAAGTAAAGTACTGCTCCATATGGAACAACTAATACAAGTGGAACAGTTACTTTGCACAAAATAATCACTTAACATAGATGATGGTGAAAGTAACTCGAAATAAGTGACGGGGTTCATGAATTATTTTAATCTTAGGATGTTTCGAAAAGTTTGGCTTAATGGCTTAGATATTGAAGTAGTGAAAAGGTCTTCCTCTTAACCTTTTTCTGAAGTACAAGTGTTTCACCCTCTTACCTCATTCTCGTATATCTATTCACATACATCTTCTCCTCTTGTACCTATTCATGTACAACTTCTTCTTTTGTACTTGTTCTCATATAACTTATTCTCTTGTATAGCTTTTTCTCTTATATCTAGTATACCTTTTTTCTATTACCTTTTACTCGAGAATAAGTCTTATTACACCCAATTACAGTAATGATTACTCACATTAATGTTCTTCATAATAATGTCATTCATTAGGCGCATTAAAGCTTATTCTTGAGTAATTGCCACTTTTATCATTATATATAGAGTCTCACAATTCATTTAGATGGGCTTTTCTCTCTCTCGAAGTTAACACATTTTCCTTTAAAAACCTTCTCTCTATAAATTCTTTCTATAATTCTCTTATACTCCCTAATTCTCTTCTTACTCTCTTCTACTTGCCACGATACTTATTACTTCAGGAATTGATCCAATCTTTCTTTTTTCCTCCTCTGGCACATCATTTTACTTGTTTACAATGCTTCCTCTCCCTATTACAACAATCCCTTTTACAAAATCCAAACAAAATTTTTTACCAAAACCATGAACAACAAGCCACTCCACTATCATCTAAGTGATTCTAATAGACTAGGTGATTTGTTGGTATCCCATGCACTAAAAGGACCCAACTATTTAAAATGGAAGATAGCTGTTGTCAATACTCTGAGATCGAAACACAAGTTGGTATTCATGGATAAAAATTATTGAAATAAGAAGAAGATGATTGGTTGATTTATAATATTATGGTAGTAGTATGATTGTTAAATTCACTCAATGAGGAGTTATATAATAGTATTGCATATTATGACATTGCTTATGATATATGGAGAGATTTAGAAAAGAAGTTTTCACAAGAAAATGGACCTTGAATTTAAGAACTGAAAAGAGAAATAATCAACATTAGATAAGGTGAATTGACAATCTCAATTTACTATACAAAAATAAAAAGACTTTGAAATCAACTTGAAAGTTTTTTTAAGTTTCATGAATGAGGATGTAGGAGTTGTATGTATGGAGTTTGGCTAGGGAAAAAGAAGAAGAAAAATTGCGTAAGTTTCTAAAGGGATTTAATGATTCTTATGCTATTATAAGATCGAATATTCTTTTTAAAGATCCATTATCAATTTTAACAATTGCTTATTGTCTAACTAGTTCAAAAGAGGTGGTAATAGTAAGACCAATTTTGGAGGTAGCAGCATATGCTGGAGAAAGGAATCAAAATCCAAATAGGAGGCCAAAATGTGAACACTGTGAGAAGATAGGTCATATAAAAGAAAATTGTTTTAAGATTTTAGAATATCCATTAAATTGGTAAGGAAAAAAATTACGTGCATTCCCCACAAGAAGCAATTAACAGTAGATGATTATCTAAAACTCAATTTGATCAACTGATGGTCATCCTTGACAGAGACAAACAAGGAACTACCACTGTCAAAATTTGTTCAGGTTCACTCTCTACTAATTTGAAGGAACGGATACCCACAATATCAATGGCAAAGCTCAATGGAATCCGAACCTGTCACCCATACCGACTTAAAGGAAGCTATTATGAAATATACAAGTATCCTCATATCTTGGGGAGAATTTTCCTTATGTAATCTTTCCCTTTTTTTTTTTTTATTTGTACTCTAAAAAAGTCTAGAGTTAGAATATTTCTTTATTTTACTTGGACACAAGTAGATTTAGATCTAGTTAGCTATTATAAATAAATCCTTATATAGTATTTTATTTTCATTAAACAATCAAATAAATTAGCTATCAAGCAAATTTTTGTTTAGATCTTTGATATTTTCTACATATATTTCCCTCAGCCACCTTTAGAAGGGAACAAAATGAATCTAATTCCTAGTCATTATTTTTGCAGGTTTTTGTGCTATTATGTAAGAATTCTTATTGAATTTTTAAGGTTTTAAACGTTGGACTTGTTGAGACAACACCCCAAATTAGTCATCCTATTTGGATAAAATTGTCTAAAGTAACTCTTTGTCCTTTCTATCTTGATAAATTAGAATTATTAAGATTACTTAATATTAATATTATTTGATAAAATGTTATCAAAATTATCTTCATAAAAGTGATCAGGTGATCTTTAAAGGGTTATAAATAGATTTGGATATTCCACCAAATAATATACTAACAATTCCTAAAAAATATAAAAGCAAAAAGGTTTATTCCCTAAGGAGAAAACACTCTCCCTTGATTGTTTGATTAGGGTTCTTTGTTAGATTAAAGTTCTTGTAACGTGAAAAGTGTGGTTATTAATTGATCTTGTAGTAGATTTCTATATATCATGAGTTTTTGAAAGTCAATAGACTCATTCGATGTCCAAAAATCAAGATTCTAGAGTCATTCTACATTAGTCTTAAAAGGATAAAAGACACTACAAGTATGATTAAAGTCAAATTATTTTGTGATTTTTTTTGTAATCCATACATTTTCTCACATCGGTATCAAAGCCAAATTTAATGTTTTCACGTTATGATCTCTGAAAAGCATGATTAACATGCTAAAATTCATTATTTATATATACTTTTAGTTTATGATTGTCTTGTTTTTTAAGCTTCAATGGCATATTAATGATAATTATTGAAAAAAATGTCCTTAGGGTTTAATTATTTTGTCATATGATGCTAATATATGCCTAATAAAATCTTGAAAAATTTGAGCTTCAAGTGATGTGGAAATGTGGAGAATAATCGAACCGTAACCTAACACTTTGAGTGAGTGTTCTTTCTTTCTTAGATAGTTTTGGTACATGATTTTTATACCAATTAGAATCCTTGCACGATCAGCTTTCTATTGTTATATTTTTTGCATAATTTGGATTTGTATGTTTGGAAGATTTAACCAAAAAAAAAAGGACTAAAATGAAAGAGAAGAAAATTTGATGGTTGAAAATGTAGTGCAGACCATAAACTTGACCCAATCTCGGTTCGGCACGTGTTGCACTCTCCAAACTTTGATTGGCGCACAGAACACGACAATAGACTTCCCTTGTGGCGATGGAATAAGTGGCGTTGAGAACGCCAGAACTGAGCGTGGAGATGGCAGCGCGTGGATCGCATGTGCCAGAGTGATTTATATTGGAAAATAGTTTGTTTTTGGGAGAAATAGAGGCGTGACAGCGCTTTGGAGGTGCGTTTTTAATTATACAAATGCCATCAGAAATTCAGGAATAATGCCTTTTAACGTTCAGTGATTTTTTTATAATGCAAAAATTTTCTGATCACTCGCACGTGTGGGGATACGTGCATTTGTTTTTGAGCCGGTGAGAGTTTGCGTTACATATTTCTAAAATTGTGTACAACACAAGTGTAGAAAGAGACCTTATTTCCAATTTTAATTTGGATTGTCGTTGGGGTCTCAAACTTAGGCTATGGGTTGGTCCTGTTCCGCTTTCTTTGGGCCTTTCTGGTTTGATGAAATATTCTGAATTTCATTATATAAGCTACATTTTTCTGAGCATTTTTCATTAATTGTTTATATTTTATTCACTTAGCAGACTTCCATTGAATACAAATTCAAAATCCTTAGTGGAATTATATTGTAATCTTTCTTTAAAATGTCTTTCTTGCTTTGTTATGTTATTTTGCAGCATTATATTTTGTGGTAAAGAGAGACGGGGAATATTCAAATGGCATAAATCATCCTGATTCCACCTTAATCAATGAAATAAACTGTCCTAGTATGTTCTGCAACTGAATTAACCATGTTGAAGCTTTCAGTAAAAACAACACTGAAATCGTGATTGATTATTTACTTATTAACAGTAGCAGTAGATTATGGGACAACACAAGACGGAGTCCAGGATTCCATGGGAAAAAAAACAAAAAGGATGCGCTCGTTTATAGCTTAGACAGACCCTTAGGATGATGCACGACAATGTGATTATAGGCATCAAGAGTCAGAAAATCATCCAGGCTGGGAGCAGTGCATTGGCGGGTGAAAATCTTGCCAGCTTCTTTGTACATTCCCTTTCTGAACTTCTCGTTTCCAACCTCTCTCTTAATCCTAGCCATCTCTTCTTCCACCACTCGCCCAAAGAGATCAGCATTCACCCTAACCCCAAGGCCATCCCCATCCAATTCCACTCCATATTTCAGCCATTGCCAGTTTTGAACTCTGCTGATCTCAGCTGTGGCAGCATCTTCCATGAGATTGTAAAGAGGGACTGACCCTGCGCCAGTTAGCCAGGCTGCCAAGTACTGGATCCCTACACGAGTATTTAGGCGGAGACCTTCCATGGTACGGACCCCTCTAGGCCTTTGCAATAGGTCTTCTTCTGTTAAGTTTGCTGCATCTTCTCGTTTGACGATTTGAATTTGGTTAGGAGCATTTCCCATGTTGTTGGTGAAGACTTCCATACAGGCTTGGATGAGTCCTGGGTGTGCTGCCCAAGTTCCATCATGCCCTGCCTTGACCTCTCTCAGTTTATCCTTCCTTACAAGATCAAAGGCTGCCTCATTTGCTGCTGGATCATCTCTAATGGGAATCTGAGCTGCCTGTTCCAGAAAATTGGGCCTTCAATATCAAAGATGCTCTCAAATTTCTAGTATGATTCTCCCAACAGATAAATAAAATGAAAACAGAAAACCAGAAAAAGTTGCATGTTAAATAATGCATGAGATGAGTTTGACTCACATACCATTCCACCCATGGCGTGCACGCCACGCCTATGGCATGTCCTGATGAGAAGATCAGAGTAACTCTTCATGAAGTGTTGAGTCATACCAACTTGAACCCTGTCTGGCAACAATCTATCCGGATGACCTTGAAATGTCTTAACATAGCTGAAAATGTAATCCCATCGTCCACAGTTTAGGCCAACAGAGTGATCCCGGAGCTCATAAAGGATTTCATCCATTTGGAAGACAGCTGGAAGTGTTTCAATTAGAACAGTGGCCCTGATGCTTCCTTTTTCTATACCTGCCATCTTTTCCGCCCTCTCAAACACACAATTCCATATTTTAGCTTCCCTGCCAATAACATAACATTGTATTACTTTCCTGAATACGAAATATGGTTTTTGAACCCCTTCTACAGCTACAGTCTAGTTGACTTCATTGAAAGTCATGCAGCTGTCTGTCAAAGCACATATTAAACGATTAAATTTAAATGACCGTAAGAAATACTTAAATTGGCTTGATCTAGGTGTGTTCTAGCCTTGGTAGGTAACTACTTAATTACCTTGAATGCTCCATCTTAGGGAGATAGAAGAAGGGCCCAAATCCTTCACCTTGAGTCTTGCGGAAACTGTTATAGCTGTGGTAAAAATAAAGGCCAAAATCCACGAGACAACCAGTTGCAGGCTCGCCATCTATGAGTATGTGAGCCTCAGGTAGGTGCCAACCTCGTGGACGAACAAACAGTTTAGCTATCTGGTCATTGAGCTTGTAAACCCTGTTCCTTGCCCTGTCATGGAACGTTATTGTTCCATCGACTGCATCCTTTAAGTTAATTTGCCCTCTCATAAGATTCTCCCAACTCGGAGAGAGTGCATCTTCAAAATCAGCCTACCAAAAAATTAAAGCTTAAGTTTTTACACAATTGCAATGACTAACGTAATGTGATCACTCACCATAAACACTTTGGCTCCAGAGTTGAGAGCGTTAATGATCATCTTCCTCTCCACAGGCCCCGTAATTTCCACCCTCCTGTCAGCAACAGCTGGTGGAACTGGTGCACAAGTCCACTGCCCTTCTCTTATGTACCTTGTAGCCGAATCAAAACCTGGCAACGCCCCTTCATTATACCGCCTTTTAGCCTCCTTGCGGCACCCCATTGCGTAGTTAATATGGTTCCTGAACTCCCTCTGCAAATCAGCCACAAACTGCAAAGCATCCTTGGTCAAAATCTTTGCAAACTCTTCATCATATCGACCCCGGATGTCCACTCCTTCCGGGACGTCATAAGCATTGATCTTCGTCGCAGCTGGTGCGGTATAACCGTAATTCCCAAGACCAATCATCCTGTTGTCTCCTCGACTATTAAAGGCTGGTAGTGAATGGTTTCTTGAGTTGAGTGTGCTTGCAATGTGAGAAAATTGGAATTATATATAGAGAAAATAAGTGAGCAAGTGGATAGCTACATCGAGCGTTATCCTTTCAATTCTTTAACTTGACTTAAATTCTCTAAATCGAGTCAGCAAGTTAACCGGCAATGGCTTTGTGCTTTGGTGGTTGAGGCGTGTCCGCCATTCCGTCTTGTGGAACGAGAACGACCGACTGTCATGAAAGCGTTTTTCTTATTGGTTGTGCATGGCTTTATGTGCGTAAACCGTGACGCCAGTGGCAGAAAATGGCAGCTCAGGGTCGATGGATTGTTTTGAGTTGTGTGCCTACCTCGGGATGTGCAGTTTGTTAGGATATGATGGATGTTTTCCCTGCTTCTTGCCATGAAAAATTGTGGGCCTAGATTGAGATAAAGAGACTTCAAAACCAGTTGTGCTGAATGGTTCCTTGCCTTGCGCGTCTTTAGCTCTCCGTCTAAACAAGCTGGGGTCTTGGGGGAGCCGAATCCAATCCGTGAAATGGGCCTTACAATTTGAGGGAATGTTCCTATCGTATGGCTATGGCCTAGCTAGTACCTAGTGACGCAGATAAAGAACAGGCCCTCCTTGGCTGGTTGCAGTGCCCTCTGCACCTTTTGAGGCAACCACTATAAAGGGCTGAGCTTTAATGCCCACATTTGCTAGTATAATAGACAAATTCATTCGAGTCCAGTTTTGCTTGAGTTGGGCTTTCGAATTAGGCCAGAATAAGCAATTCCAATACAGAATTGCACCGACTCCAAACAACTAACCCAACGCGCTTTCTATAAATTGCAACGAGGGCGGCTAGAAATTAAGGTCAACGCGTTAAACGAAGAAGCGTCCTAGAGATTGTCTCGATTCTCTGATTCTCTTTGCGTGTGGTTTCCATCTCTCTTTCTCTTCTTTCTGCTAAGATCTTCGATTGCCTCTCATTTATCGAGGTGAGGTCAGATCCGCCAAAAGGGGCACAACAAATTTCAGGTTCTAGGGTTTTGTATTATCTTCTCATTTATTTGATCTTTCTTTTTCTCTGTCTGCGATAATTTCCACTGCTGAAAATCTAGGGTTTAATCGATCTATTGTTCGTTTTTTATTGACTGTATTTGTAAGCCTTGTCCGCAGATCTTGGGTTTGTACTTTTTAGGGAACCCTAGGAAAAGGAAAAAGAAAGAATAGTTACTGAATTATTTTGTTTTGTGCATTTTGATTGGCGATTTTGTTGGATCTCTTTGTTTGAGCTTTGAAATTTTTGATTGAGAAGAGTTTGGTTGTTTGATTCGTATGGCGGCAGGGCGAGTTGATGTTCCCCGGAGAAGTGGTGTTGGGAAGTTGAATCGGGGTCTTGCTCATGCTGCTCCCGATAAGAGTGGATATAATTACCCATCTGATGGGAAGAACTTGGTTGCCCAGAATAAGAATGGGTACAACTTGGGTCCTAGGCGATTTGGGTTAGAGGAGGTTGTGAGAGTTAAGAATGGTGGAACCCGGTTTGTGGATGATGGGGTTCGGCAGCCCCCACAGAAAAAGGCGAAGTTTTCCCCTATTGTATGGGACATGGAAGAAAAGGAAGTAAGAATTTCGTCTAGGAACAGAGTTGTATCGACAGCTACAACTCTGTTATCTCCTCCTTCACCTTGCACGTCAAGTATAGTTTCCGATGAGGGTGTTACAAAGCATTCAGTCTCTGCAAATCTTATTGAGGAAGTGCAGCATTTGCCAACTAAGTCTTCTGTTTTTGGTTTTGCTGCTGTTTCTGGCCAGCAATGTCTGGATGATGAACCAGAACAAGGTCTGGTGCGGAAAGAAATTGTTCAAGCACACAACATATTCACATCACGTTGGTCATCTGATAGTGATGATGAAGATGTGTCTAGGAGTGAGGAAAATAGTAGAAGGAGTTCCAGTCTTGAAAGTGGAGAGTGTGAAAGAGATGATTTGGAAGGAGACTTGATTGTCTTAAATGAATCTAATGAAAGAAGCAGTTGTGTATTGTCTGCTTGTGAGGATGGAGATATGGAATGCAAATCGGTCTCTTATGGTGTGATGGACATTGATGACAAGCTTGAGGAAGATGTTGCGGTTGACCAGGCAGAGTTTGATGTTGAAGAGCCAACTGGCAGAGGTATGAACATGCTTCTGGGTTGCAGAAGTGTTTTTGAATATGAAAAATTGAACAAAATAAGTGAAGGTACTTATGGTATTGTTTATAGAGCTAGGGATAAGAAGACAGGAGAAATTGTGGCCCTGAAGAAGGTGAAGATTCTCGACCGAAGAGATTTTGAAGAATATGGTTTCCCTTTGACATCACTGCGTGAAATTAACATACTTGCATCTTTTGATCATCCTTCAATTGTGAAAGTGAAAGAAGTTGTAGTAGATGACCATGACAATGTTTACATGGTTATGGAGTACATGCAACATGACTTCAAGGGGCTAATGGAATCCATGAAACATCAATTTAGTACAAGCGATGTTAAATGCTTGATGCTACAGCTATTGGAGGGTGTCAAATATCTTCATGATAATTGGGTGCTCCACAGGGATATGAAAACATCCAATCTACTCTTGAACAACCAAGGTGAACTGAAAATATGTGACTTTGGTATGGCTCGTCAGTATGGAAGCCCTCTAAAGCCATATACAACTAAGGTGGTCACTCAGTGGTATAGGTGAGCTGCACTTTGTATTTTTTGAATTGTTATGAGCTTTTAAATTTGACATTATCATTGTTTTATTTCCAAGCTTATAGTTGTGTGGTTTCTGCATTTCAGAGCACCTGAACTTTTACTTGGAGCAAAGAAGTATTCAACAGCAGTTGACATGTGGTCTGTGGGCTGTATAATGGCTGAGTTGTTAGCTAAGGAACCTTTGTTCAAAGGAACAAGCGAAATTGATCAGCTTCGCAAGGTAATCATTGTGTCTGTTGAAACTTCACCTTCTTTTTATGTTATTATAATTATTTTGTTTTCTGATGTTTAGTCTTGATGGTTGCAGATCTTTGATACTCTTGGTACTCCAAATGAGAAGATTTGGGCTGGGTTTTCTCAATTGCCAGGGGCAAAGGCAAATTATTCTAAGCAACTGTAAGTTTTTCTCTGTACAATTGCTTTCTTCATCTGAAGTACTATTTATTACCATGTTTTATATGTTCAGTATTTATTGACTAACGATTCATGTGATTTCCAGTTTTATAAGTAGTTGCTTTTGTTTTCTTCTTCCAGGTATAATTTGTTGCGTAGAAAGTTTCCTGCAGCATCTTTCACAGGATCTCCAGTTCTATCTGATGCTGGATTCGACCTGTTAAATAGGCTTCTTACATATGATCCAGAGAAGGTATACATACATGACTTTAAAATCTATTTTAGTGAACTCTAGTTTATATGTATGGGAGGTTTTATGTTTTGTTTATTGCTAATTAAAGTTTCTGTCGCCTGTGCAGAGAATAACAGCAGATGATGCTCTTAACCATGATTGGTTCCACGAGCTTCCTCTACCAAAATCTAAAGAATTCTTGCCTACTTTTCCGCCAAAAATGTAAATGCAACAGGTACCTGGCATGACTAGTGAAAGCTTGGACACATCCGAATAACACATTTGGGCTACATTGTTAGTTTGCAGTTGTAGCTGTTTCTTATTTTACTTCAAACAACTCTTAGGCATATACAACGAACCGTGAAGGATCCAAATCTCTTACAACAGTGGTAAAAATTTTTTTTATCTATTGGTTGTGTTACGGGCAGGCAGATTGTGCATACAGCCACTGTGCTATTTATCATGCTAGTGTATCTTAAGCAGATGATTGGCTAGAGGTGAGGTGTAGCAGTTGAATGTTTCGGTAGCAAAATATTGTGAGAAACTGATATTGTCCTTTGGCAGGCCAATATATGACATTCCTGCTGAGATTAATATCTTGAGGAAGTTGAATTACAGGATCCAGTTCTTAGTTTGGATGATTTTGTGATGAATTGTAATGGTCCTTAGCTGCGATTGAATATGAAGGTGCAGCTTATTGACCTTAACTTTTCTTAGATCTTTCTTTTTCCCACTTCCTTGATATTGTAACAGATTGCAATTCTTGTGCAAATATTCTTGACTATATTTGAATTTTTGTTTTGCTATTTCTAAAACTACTGCTCACGTTGTTTCCTTCAATTTTCTTCACATTGCTTGCAAGAGTCTACTGATGTTTGGAAGGGAACAGCATTGGTCTTTCCTGCTCATGGGCAGTAAGTTTTGCACACTCAAGGTACTTTTCATGATATTTGTGTTGTGCCTTCAAAAATAAGTTTCCTGTTTTGTACATGGTGATTTTACCATATTAGGTAATGGAGGAGCCCCACTATTTGGTACACAATATATGTTCTGAAGTGAACTTATGAATGTGAATTAAGTGTAATTTATGGAAACTCTTAAGTAATCTTGCTGAGAATACGGTTGTAACTTGTAAAACACAGAGATGTAGATTGTGGTTGTAGTTTCCAAAAACAACACAGATGTAGGCCACATTGCTTTTGAATGAATTAGTTGATCTTTTAACTGTTGAGATTTTTGTATCTTTCTTTTCTTCTCTGTTTTAAAGTGTTTGCAGCAGTGCAGGAGGTTTGGAAGCGTGTATATGTTTTACATAATCATTTAGTGTGCAAGTCAGATGCCATATGCGTAGTTGGTATAATAATTGCATTAATCTTGTCGTACTTTGGTGACCTCTTCCTTAATGATTACCAATTGTCAGTCTAAGAGTTGATGTTGCCTGTCAATTAAATAATAATGACTGACATTGATATATTGTACTTGATGTTATCAAAATGGATTTTGCTGGTTTATGATTTGTATGTTATATTTCCCTCAATTATATTTTGGATGGTAATGGTACAAGGCGGGGATGATGACACAGGGAAGGCTGTGAATAACAGGCAGATGTCAGTACTGGAGAAAAGATAACAGAAGGCTTGTTCTATTTCTTTTCCTTTGGCCTTTGTTTTTATTAATTTTGTTGTATTGTCTTTGTCATGAATGGGTGCTTAACCAATTTTTACTTTCTTGAGTTTCTGCAAGATACCATATAACTGAAAAACTGTAGTCGGTTACAAGAGGACGTCATCATACCCAAACTTGGCTGTTGCTGAAGATGGTTCAACAGTTGGGGTCCGAATTCGGCTATCAGTATATGTTGTCGTTAAGCATGGTTTAAATAAAGGATCATCTTCTTCCTTTCTAGTTTTGGACTGCGACTTTTGAATCTAATAATAAAATTATTACAAAGTCTTGTTTGATTTGAATGTTAATGATTGTTGGCTCTATTCTCACGAGATGAATTATAGGATGAGCATAGCACTAGAATTAGATTCAACTGATGGAGGTAGATGATGATGTAGTTAACTCTTTAAAGTAATTAACAGTATTTGTTTTGGCATCCACGGGGGCACCTGGCAATAGAAATTCCAATTTCCAAATCCCCCTCCATTTTTCCCTGAAGTAAAAAGTGCTGAAATAAGGGGTTTCAAAATTACAAGGAAGATGTTAATGAGAGTGATTTTATACAAAGGAAAATTAACAAGTGTCTCAGCTGGTAGTGAAAGTTATAGTTTTCCCAAGCACAAAAAGAACAAGTGAAAGCTCTATGAAAAATATGGTACTGATAAGTGCCCGATCAATTTTCCATCCGTAAACTGTGGCTCCTCCTGGGTTGAACTGCAAGTACATGACTGCATTTTGCAAAGCAAACATGTAACATATCCAGAAAAGCTTAAGAGTCCTTACTTGGTAGTCGCAGAAATTGTTATCCAACCCTTGGCTCTTTTTCCTTTTTCTCCTCAATGAAAACTAAAAAATGGGTTTATACCATCCAATTGACTCTATTTATGCAGAAAAAGCTTTAAAAAGGCGACGGAATGTACATACCAAAAGCTTGTCGCTTGTGATACGAGGACATATATGAAGCCATTTGAGTATTGGTTGGAACAGGCACGTAATCAACTGCCTCCAAATCAGTTTCTGAGTAACTTATCGGCATTGGGACTGGTAGAGGGGCTCCTTCCAAGCCTCCATCATCATTACTAATTAAAACCGATTGAGAGGTGTCATTAGAGTTGCATGTAACTAAAGCATGCCATCGGCTAGCAACTGAAGCTAGACCTTGGGCTCTATGTGAGATTTTTGCAGCTGCGTGCAGGCAGATTATTATTCCGATAAGCTCAACGATGGAGATGACCTGCCATATATGAAAGATTCTTAGTTGATATAATCCAATGTTAGCATGAGGTTATACATCAGAGTCGTACCCCACTTACTGCAAAATCACCACCATTGATGAAATTGATGATTCCACGGTTCCCTGTGGTTTCCAACAGAGCTACAACCTGACTAGCCGTCACAACCAGGAATTCTAGGAGGAGAAATATTCGAAACCTGTGGCTTATCTTGGATAAATAATGCGTCAAACGTATGTGTTCCTCCATATAAACAGAGACATCGGAGTCCCTTTCAAGAAGCTTCCCATAATTCTCAAAGTGTATCACTTGCAAATTACACACCAAATTGAACAAGCCACTGCCTGATAAATAGATGACAGTTGAATAAATCCAGGATACGAGCAAAACAGTTAGCATTACGACTGATCTCCACCATGAATCGTGATAGGCATAGACAACCCGAGTGACTTCTCGAGCAGCCTTTACAATGAAACATGGTAATATCCACACCGCCAACAAACGGAAGAAATCCTGAATAAATGGAGCAAATCGGGTTACAGAGAGGAAAAAGGGAAGAGGTGAACTCTGAAACAATTTCAACTCTTATTAAAAGGTAAATGATTAGATCTCATGCACTTCAATTTTCAACTGAGAACTAAATAAAAAGAAAAAAGGAGGGCAACAACAATTAGAGGGTACTTGCTTACATCTATCTTCTTCGCATATTCCCCACGAAACTGCTCCACGTGACCATGATACCTATCCACAAACAGGAACTTCCTTATCCCATATTTGCGCAGATTGCGAGAGATGCAGAAAAGAGAAATGGCAGAGACGAGAAACTGAGATACGAGAATCTCAAGCTCAAAACTCTTGATCTCGTACTTGTAACAACCGGAACAATAAGAGAGCAAAATGATGAGAAGTGGAAGAGTAATACCGAGAAGCAGGAACAAGAACCAGGATATAGAGAAGCTGAAGACGGAATATTGGCAGAAGCCCAAGAGCCTGAGAAAGGTCTCTAAACGGTGGAGGGAACTGGAAAGTTGGGTGTCGTCTCGGTCTTCTTCTAGCTGGGTTGATGGTTCTAAAAGGGGAATATTGGTCTGGGCTGTTGCAGTTTCTTGGGCTTGTGCAGGAGGAACTGCCATGGAGAGGACGAGAGTTGCAGAAAAGAGGGGATTTGAGCTAAGTTCTTGCTCAGTTTTGCCTTGGAAAGTGGCTACAGAAACAAACCGAAGAAAAGCGCCAGTGTGGTTTCACATAGACACCTAGTGCTGCTGCACCCATTACTTTATAGAGTCCATAAATATACAATGAGAAATTGAGACGCAGAGACTAGGACCTTTGTCCTGGACTGACCCATTAGCCCGACAATGTTTTATTTTTATTCATAATTTTTAAATTTTAATTCTTCAATTTTAAATTTTTTAAAAACATTTCAAATCCCATCATTTCATCGAATCATTATTAAAAATAACCAAAATAAATCATCTCAATGTTAGGTAAATATTCATATAATATAAGTTTCAATTCAAAATATTAAATTTTTTTTTTGTCACAAACATTTAAGTGTCAAAATCTATCCATATTTATAAGGTGACATTGAAATAAATAGATTTCATTTGATCTTCATGAGAATTAATAGATGAATCAAACATTAAACTTTAAAAGGTGATTATCTGAAATCAATTTGGAAAAAAGTGGTAAAAAGTTAGTGAGAAAACAAAGATTTGTGTTTTGTTGCTGAAAGAAAATCTGAGGAAATAATTTCGTGTCCACCTTTGAGTGCAGAATGAATGCTAAAAGTCTCGAAGCATTTGTATACATTCATAGGAGTTGAGCTATTAATAATAATTATATCATCATAAATAATAATGAAAGTAATTTGAAAAAAATAGTAAAATTCACGAGTTTTGAAAAATTTGACTTGATAACTTAAATTTGAAAATACTTTAAAGAGAGTAATGAAATATTAATGGTTACGAGCGGTGCAGATTCAATCTTCCAAAGCAAAGTCGTTGAATTAAAATGCAAGGGATAGGTAGAGATTACTACAAAATACAAATGTATGAATCAATACTACCTTGCTGAAGCCTGAGTCTTCTCCGGGTTTGCAATCAAACTGGTTCACTGTGAGTAGCTGAGATATAAATGAAGTGTAAGAAACCAAAAGACATAAACTGTATTTCACCTTCTCATTTAGGGTTTAGGAAATGAAAACAGTTAAAGGAGTTGAGTGGGTTAGATTTTGATTTACTTCAAGCTTTAAGAACAATTATGAAACGAATTGTTATCCAAGGAAAAGAGAAAATCAAGTCTTGCATGATGCAATTCCAAGTGTCCTAACCTTGACATCTTGCCTTAACACTAATTGATCGAGCTGAGGAATTAATGACTTGGGGAACATCACTAAAGCAAATAAACCTTTAATTTGTAGCACAGGGACCAGCACCTATAAACTTTTTATTTATTATGTGCAGCAAGAGAGGGTAGAGAGTTGTCCTTTGTTGACAACAGAGCAAGTGAGCAGTCGTTGACCCGGAAAGGAGTTTGCTATGACAGTTTTGAACCTGTGCAAGTATTTTCCAAGGTAAAGCAGATTGTTCTATGGTTTCTGAACTAGGGCACTGGTGTTAAGTAATCCCTCTAGCCTAAATGGAGGAAGAAACCGTGGGGAAAACATTCATCGGCCTCATGGTTTAAAAGCTTCTAACGAAATCTTCCACTTCAATCTATAAGACTGTTGCATTTCCTACTCCCCTCATGTCAGGTTTTACACCTAAGAGGCTACAGCATAAATTTAATTAAAATTTCTATTCTTTGGAAAAGAAAATCAACAGACCTTGCTTCAGTGGTAGAATGTTATAATCTATGTTTCTTTTCCTGATTTCAATCACACAAAACAGTAATAACATAATCTGAATCACAATTAACAATCTGCGATCAATAAATTAGTGATTCTGACGGAACTACAGTTACTGTTTTATGATTTTATTGCTATGGAAAATGCCGGGGGTAAGGGAACTCATTTAGAATCCCAAAATGTGAAGGGAATTTGATTTCAATTTGAGCTGTAATCAATAACCAGCCAGCAGTGGTATCCAAAGCTTTAAGCAGATGCCAAGAAAGTTTTCATTTTTTACTGCAGCTCCTTCCCAGCATTTGGCGATGTCCTATTGTCATGTAATCCAGATATGGTTTTATAATTTAGATAAACCACCAGATAGAGAATGATTAACCAGCTCCCTCCTCAAGATCTTTCCTGCTGGAGATTTCGGAATAGAATTAACAAAAGCAACACGTCGAATCTTCTTGTAGGGCGCAACCTGCAAGAAGAAAATCAGCTCTAGTTGTGTCAGGTTGCATAAAAATACAACCAAGAAGCCTGATACGCTGAATAGTAATATGCATTTCAAATTTCCCAAAAATTAGTTAAAATGCAAATACTATCTGTCACTATTTTAGAACCATGCCTGTTTTGCAATGAAATCCATGACTTGAGACTCAGTGATGCTACTTCCAGGGTTTCTCACTATGTAGGCCATGGGAATCTGCCCTGCTTCTTCATCAGGGTACCTGCTCTCAGACATAACAAATTGATATGAGACTAATAGGTGCCACTAGCATCACAACAGAATTGCAGTTCTAGATCAACTTAGGAACTATTAGACAGTATGCCACCATACTATCAAATATTCTGGGAACTTATTGATCAAGGCTGATGTTGGTACTCCTTCAAAAACATAGATTGAACACTGCACTCTCCCTTGTGAGGTATTCTGCTACGTGATCTTAACTTTTTCACTCACTTAGCTTCAAAAGCATTTGGCAAGAAAACCATGTTCAGAAATGTATGAACTGATGTGCAAGTTGTGTCTTTGATTGGACAAAATGTCAAAGCTACAAACAAAAAAAATCTAGCATACACAGACATCATCATTCACAAGAAAAAAGAGAAACTCAATACATACGGAATCACAGCTGCATCAGCAATTTCAGGATGGGAATGAAGTAAATGCTCCAATTCAGCAGGAGGGACCTGCAATTTTTGGTTTAGATAATGAGATTATGTGTTCCAAAAACATTAAAGGAACACTGCCAACCACATTGTTTTAAGATGCAAACTCCATGGCAACTCATTCACCTGATATGCCTTGTATTTGATCAATTCCTTCAATCTATCTACAATGTAGAGAAACCCTTCAGAGTCAAAATAACAAATATCGCCAGTTTTTAACCAGCCTTCTGAATCCAAGGTTTCAGCGGTTGCATTCTCATCTCCTACATAACCTGCATTGACACCACTATTTCACTTAGGAAGGAATAAGCTTTTTATAAGAGTTTGAACTTTGCGAAATGCCCAAAAGGAAAAATTTATGCCAATTGCTCCTCACTAATAATGAAGTTTTGGCTGTAATATGTAAATTATGATTATTGGTCCAAAAACAAACCTTCCATGATTATGGATTTCTCCAGATTTATGTCCATGATTACAAAAACCAAGCTTCCCAAATCAGAAAGGTTAAGGAAGGAAAAATGACAGGGATTAGTATGGATAATGTACTACAAATTTACAATATTACTAACTCTTCAGTTTTTTTTTTTTTTTTTGTTTCAAAAAAAACCTCTATTTCTAAGTAAAAGTTATGGTGGTGAAATAACGTTATAATCATTTTCAATCCTCCCATTTCATAGCTTTATCAAGCAAAAGAAGAAAAAGATTTCTTTCTCTTTCGTCAACCTATCTATCCTTCCTACATTTTCCTAGAAACCTAACTTCCTATTGCTAGCCAGTGGGTTTCTGTCCCAATATTACATAATTCTGGCGGCACATTTAGCACCAATATTAAAGGCAAAAAATGTAATACCCTTCATTACTGTAGGACCCCGCAACCATAGCTCCCCTCTTTGCCCGGGTGGCAGGGCCTCTCCAGTTACAGGATCGACTATCTTGGCTTCCATATTTTCAGCAAGGCGGCCAACTGTCCCATATCGTGCTGCCTCCTCAGGCCCTATCACCCTCGTTGCTCCCCCTCCAGTTTCAGTCAGCCCATATCCCTAACACAAAGAAAAATGAGGGAACAATACTAATATTCACACCCAATAAAGATACTTATTTGAATGAATAGAATAGTTCAACAAACTCAACCATATACCATGGGCAATAGAACTCTTCCCTTACTCTTTTTTTCATTCGAAATATATCCCACTAAAAAACATACTTAATAAGCAGAATGCCAAAACTAGAGAAAACTGCCTAAGTTAATGAACTAGAATAAACGAAAATCAATCAAATATTTCTTTTATTTTGAAAAACTACTGCATAAGCCTTTTCCATAAAGTATACATAGATCAAACAAATCAAAATATAAGTATGATGTTACAAATGATCATGTCGAATTGTCAATACACATAAATCACATTTTTCATTTGTGGGAACTTATATATGTTGAGATGATAATTTTTAGTAACATTGTCACGTTTCAATTTATTAAGCCGACAATAGTAGAAAAGATGTTAACAATTTATCCTTCTCTAGTTATTTCTTACCTGAACAAGTTCCACGGTGGGAAATTTCTCCTTGAACCGCTCAACAACCTCCTTGCCAAGCGAGGCGCCACCGCAACCAAGCAACAGAAGCGAGCTAAGGTCATACTTTTTAGTCAAATCTGATTTAATGAACGCCACGACAAGCGGCGGCGAAACGGGCATGTAAGTTATCCTGTACTTCTCTATGGCTCTTAACATTCCCTCAAATTCAAATCTCTCCGTGAAAACCACCGATTGTCCCATCGAAAACGCCCTCGCCAACATAAAGAACCCAAATACGTGAAACAAAGGCACCGTGAAAAACGACACCGGGTGCGGTTCCCTTTGCTCCTGGTGAGAGTGCCTTAAGTGGTAAAACCCGGCAATCAACGCGATCAGGTTCCGGTGACTCAGCATCACGCCTTTGACTCGGCCGGTGGTCCCCGAAGAATAAAGTACCGCGGCTGTGTCGTGCTGGCTCACATGGACTCTACTAATAAAGTCGTTATCGACATCGGGTTGAGTTAAGAAAGTGAGGAACTCGGGGGAGTCGAGGAGGACTGTTCCCAGTTTGAGAGATGGAAGCTTGGAAGACGTCTCCGATGTGGCGAACGCAATAACGGGTTTACAGAGTTGAATCTGGTGAGCAATCTCCACCTCGGAACTCAGCGGGTTGGCGGGAGAGACAACGATTCCTAACGACATGAGAGCGAAGTAAAGCAAAGGGACATGAAGAGAGGGAGGGGAGAGAATGAAGGCGACGTCGTTTTGGGAAAGGGAATACTTTTTCCGGAGGGAGTGAGCGAGGGAATGGATTTGAGCAATGAATTGGGAGTAAGAGAGGGTGCCTGCGTTAGTAGCGTCGACAGCGAAAAGGGTATCGCCGCTGGTGGGGTTTGAGGAGGAGCGGATAAGAGAGAGGACATATTGAGGGAGGGAGAGAGGCTGAGACGATGGTGGGAGAGGTACAAGTGGTCTGAGGCCGTGAAAAGTCCTCGTTTGGGGACAGAAACCGGTGTTTGGATCTATAGAACGGTGGGGATTGGCTGCTTCTGCCATCGGAGTGATGATGTTAGCTTGAGTTAGCTATGTAGTTGCAATGAGTTTTCACTTTTCAATTTGCAGAGAGGTTTCATAAGCTTACAAAGTGAAAATGGAAGGATGAGAAAAGCAAGTACTGTACCTTTTTCTACTTGTGGCTTTTGCCTCTTTGTACATTTTTTTTTCTTCTTTTTCTGCAGATGATGACGGTGAGCCGGCACTGGGTAGAAAGATTGTTTTTTCAGGTTCGTCGACGGCTAGGTAATGACTGGCACACACGAATCATACGCAGAAGACAACAGAGAAAGGTTTTGACCCTTCAATTGCAAACGTGACTTCGCAATTTTAATTCGATAAACGTGTATAGTACAATAGCTTAGAGATCGTTCGGCAATTGCCATTAGAGAAACATTTGGTCTCCGCCATTACTGTCAGTACAATGACAAAACCATCTAGAATCTTCAATTGTGATTGCATGTGATTTTTTATTAAATTAAAAATAAAAATATACCACTTACCATTTTTTGTATTAATAAATAGTTAAAATATCTATTAAATCTCTATATTTATATATTTTATTCAATTTAATATATATACTTAAAATTAAAATAATTTAATTTTTTTATTTTAAAAATTATTTCAATTTAATCTCTTTCATTAATAACATCTAATTTTATTATTGAAATGATGACATCAATACTGACGTGATATATTTTGATAACGTAACATCTACATGATAACGTGACGTGTTACTTAAGACCAACATGAAGCTATGATAGTGTCACAAGACCTTAATCTTAATATGATGATGTGGTAATGTTGACATGACATTGATATGCTAACGTGTCAATATCATGTGAAAAATAAAAAAAAATTTTAATTTTTTTTTTGTACCACATTATAAGAATAAAATTGAACAAAAATATATAATACAAGAGCTAAATTATATACAATTGAGATGTTGAGAAACTAAATTAAAAAAATATAAATCTTTAAGTAGATGATAGATATACTTATTAATAAGCCAAGTATTTAAGTGTAAAAGATTTATGGTATTAAAAATTATATATAAATATTTTCATACTTGATTATTTGATTTTAAAATATGAAT